CGTTATAATCTTGCACTCTATAAACCTAAGGATACCTTCCAGGAACTCTTTTTTGAAATGGTAAACAGTTCTGTGGTCCAGTTAGGTAAATATCCTTTTTCAAATGTGCGCTTGGCTTTACTGATGCGTACCTGATCTCCTTCTTTAAACTGAGGTTTAAGAAACTGTTTTCGATTGGATTTCCCATATAAAGTTTTCCAGACTTTTAACACATTAGAAGCATTCACTTGAACTGGTGCTCTTTTGATACTCCGATGATAGGTATGATTGTAAGCATACACTAAATCCGGTAAAACTTCAAAATACCGTCTAGTTTTATGACGAGTAAAATAACGCCACATGCGTGCTTTGAGTGTACGCTGAAATCGTTCCACGATACTGGCTTTAGTGTCCGTATTACGAGTGGTAAAAAATGAATGGATTTAAAAGCTTGTAAGAATTCTCGATTGGTAAATTCTTTTCCTTGATCCGATTGAATGCGGACGGGACGTCGACCGTCTTGTTGAAAAATCTGTTGTAATCCTCGAACCATTTCTTTTCCTGTTTTCTGTTTTAAAGGCACTACCCAGGCATATTTAGATAAGACGTCAATGGCACATAATAAAAACGTATATCCATCATTATGTTTCTTTAAACTGGACACATCTGCTAAATCTAATTGCCATTGTTCGTCTATATCTGTCACTCTAGTCTGTTGTCTCCGGAATTTTCTTTGAATGGGTTTATATAAGGTATAAGTATCTTGCTCTTTTAACCATTCTCGAATCTTTTTCAGGGAAAATACCGTCTGGTTTTATGACGAGTAAAATAACGCCACATGCGTGCTTTGAGTGTACGCTGAAATCGTTCCACGGTACTGGCTTTAGTGTCCGTATTACGAGTGGTAAAAAATGAATGGATTTAAAAGCTTGTAAGAATTCTCGATTGGTAAATTCTTTTCCTTGATCCGATTGAATGCGGACGGGACGTCGACCGTCTTGTTGAAAAATCTGTTGTAATCTTCGAACCATTTCTTTTCCTGTTTTCTGTTTTAAAGGCACTACCCAGGCATATTTAGATAAGACGTCAATGGCACATAATAAAAACGTATATCCATCATTATGTTTCTTTAAACTGGACACATCTGCTAAATCTAATTGCCATTGTTCGTCTATATCTGTCACTCTAGTCTGTTGTCTCCGGAATTTTCTTTGAATGGGTTTATGTAAGGTATAAGTATCTTGCTCTTTTAACCATTCTCGAATCTTTTTCAGGGAAATTCCTAAAGGTTTGACCTAACGATACAAAGCTTGTATTCCTCCGTACCCTCTTTTAGGATCATAATAAATCTCTTTTAAAATGTCTTCCACTTGTTTCTTTTTCATAATTTTGGCAATGAAAGCCAATTTTCGTCGATTTGTCCTAATTTCTTTTCTTCTTCGAGTTTGGCTTTTAATTCCATTTGAGCTCTAAAGGGACTATATCTGGATCCTACCCTTGTCCCTACAGGGGTTGAAATGGATTTTTTAATGACGGTTCCTGGATCTTCTATGGGTCTACTCACTGGAGTGTCAAAAAAGGAAGAAAATCCACTATCGTCTATTTGGTGAATTTTAGGAGTACTGATTTTTCCAGGTCTCTGCATGGCTTTTATAAGGTTTCCATTGCTCACGTATTCCAGAGGAGTACGCGTCTCTTTTAAAGCTTGAGCAAATTGTTCTAATCCTGTAGGAACCGGATGATTTTTACGAGAATGAGATCTCATACTTTCAGCCATTAAATCCACAATGTTAGAATCGGGAACTTTTTGACCTCGATAACTAATTTCACCTTCTTTATTCCAAGTTAACACTTTAGGGTTTTTCTTTAAATGATTAAATAATAATCCAGATTTTCTTTTCATGTTTTTATTCACCGTTTCAAGGATTTCATCTTCAATCTCAGCTGGGGCTGCTGGTAATGCTGCTGCTGCTGCTGGGGCTGGAGCTGCTCCTGCTGCTGCCGGAATTCTCAGTTTAGAAATAGGCTCCTGTCTAGCTTGTTGTAAATAATTCCTATATCGATGAAGTTCCTGGCCATATAAAGCGACTTTTTCTTCTGGGGTTAAATCTTCACGTCTTGTAATCTCGTCCAATTCCTGACCTAAACTGATGGTTGATTGAAATTCCGGAGGTTTGGGTAATTTTGCCTTGAGATCATTCAATAAGACTTCAGGAACTAACACCATTTTACGACTCATTTTTTTTTCTTCTTGATGACTTTATAGACGGATTGACCGGCACCCAACAATAAAGGTGCTGCTGAGATTAAAAGGGGTAAAATGTTTCCTGCTTTTTGTTGAAGTAATAAAGCTCGTCGTTTCTGAATGGATTGAGGTTTGACCAGTCTCCTGAAGATGTGTTTCTTAGGAACTAGTTTTCGTTTATGAGCCGAACTAAGAGGTAACACTCCTTTCAATAGGTTGTACACGATCTCGTAGATTTTGAGAATACAATCTCCAGAACAATGTTTTAAAATACCCGTCTTTAATGGAGAGGAATAGTGAGGGTCAGATAACACTCTTAAAAGAGGCCAATGAGGTGTTAATCGTGTAGAACAGCAAGTCCTTCTTTTCCTCTTCTTCTTAGCCATCATGGGGTTAAAATGAGGACATGTCCCAGGTTTCTACCCTTTTTATACTCTCAAGGAGGAGCATACATGTCGTGTTTGTCCTTCTCGTGTTTGTCTCTATTTTTCTGGGTGACGTAGATTTTGGAACAAATCGGCATTTATATCTCATTCCTTCAGGAAGTTGAGGTGTAGAAGCGGTCAGAGGTTGAAAGCGTGCTATTTTAGGAGTGTGAATGGGTACTTTAATTCTAGGAGTGAGAATGGGTACTTTAATTCTAGGAGAGGGAATTCCCACATTGACTTGAGGAAACATTTCTAAATCGGTAGCTCTTTGACTGCCTATGGGTCCCATAGGACGATCCATTCTCATTTCAGCTTGTTTTTTAATAACTCCCCAATAGTTTTTTGTCTTTGTTCCTTATAATACTGATTGATTTCGTTTTTTAAACTTTCAGGCATGGCTTTTCGTTGAGCTGGAGTTTTTGCAGTAGTTTTTTTTCTTTCTACCACCAGGGGCTTTTCTTTGAGCAGCAGCAGGTTTTCTCTTTTGAGGTTTTCTCTTTTGAGGTTTTCTCTTAGGAGGTTTTTTCTTCTTTCTGGTCTTTCGGGCTGCTCCTCCTACTCGGACCATCCAATCTGGAAACACTCTTTGTTTCTTATTATCGACTCGCACTACCACACTTTTCAAACGACGAACACGTCGTTTCTTAGGTGCATTCCATTTTAAATAAATGACGAATGATAACTCCGCCTAGAAATCCGGCTCCTCCGTGTTTTAAAATGGCATTTTTTCTGTCTTGATCACTCGCCGACTTATCGGCTATGATACTTAAATCTTGACGATGATTATTAATAAACTTTTGGGTCTGTTTATTGATAGGTAAGACCCCACGTATCAAATTTCGAGCTCCCATAGCAAACCAATTCAATAAGGCTTTACGCCCTAATTCGATTAAATGGGCTCGCTTGGCAGGATCTCGCTCCCGCTGTAAACGTGGTAACGTTTTCACTAATTTACTCTTGGCTGAGAGAGGTCGACCCATGACGACTGTATAATGATATATGACAAGTTTAATGTTGGTACATTTTTATTTATACTCTTGTGGCATGTGTATAGTTAACAATTCAAACAATCGACTTCTCAATCTGAATTCGTCTGGGGTCTGTGGATTGAGGTCAACCAGGAGATACCCATGAGGAACACTGGTGGCTTCTTGATAGGCCGACATCAAATGAGGTAAGGCTAACTGTCGACTCAAGACACTGATTTGAGATTTGTCTCTGGGATTTTTAAACAACACTAAATAATGAGCATTCAAACTAATGGTGCGATGTTGTGGTGCACGATCAAATAAATTCTGAGTGATGTAAATCACACTGGTATTCCGATGATGCGCTTTACGGGTAAACCAATCCACGATCGATTCGATGGCTTTTCCTCCTATCATGTCGTCAATAATGAGTAAGTGAGGAATACTTAAATTGGCCACTAATTTCTCATCGTCTTCTGGAATATTTCGAATGAAGGAGACCTGATCTGTTAAAGAAGTGTAAGCAGGTTGCATTCCCGATAACACCAGACAATTTTTTTGTGGCATGGGGGTAATCCAATGTAAATTTCTCACTAATTTCTTGACAAATTCCGATTTAGAAGGTCCTGCTACCACCATGGTAAATTCGTGTTTTAATTGAAAAGACGGGAGTGTCTCGTTAGGTTGCATGATGATAAATGAAGAGAAAAATATGGTTTCAATCCTTTTTATTCATAGTCAACACAGAAATATACGTTGGGTTCTCTTCACATCGGCTCGACAGATGGGGCAATACCGGAATGTGGGAGCACATAATGAACTGCAACATACGTGTCCACAAGGGAGTAAAGCAATTTGTAATTCTCCCTCTAAACAAATGTGACATTTTCCTGTTGCCTGAATCTCTGTAGAGGTTTGGTTTAGTAGAGGTTTGATATGAGGTGAAGGTTTGTATCCCACCCGGAGTAAATGGTTAATGAATACGATCATCACCCACTCACGTCCTTTATAGGTATTGATGTAAGGACAATTAGGGTTCCAATAGGCATGTTCTACATAAGGATCGTCTGTAGGTTCCAAGTTGGTGAAAGTCATACCACAATGAAAACAGATGGTCTTATCACTCACTCCCCTGTAATAAAATCCGGCTTTGGCTAGGTTGGGTAATAATCCTTTTAAAGACTCGGGCCATCCATCTTCAAAGGTAGCTTCTCTCTTTAAGAGCAGAGCATAGTTAGGGTAAACAGGAAGCCCCTCTGGCTCCCTAGAATGAACAGCCATGACTGAAGTGTTAAAATATTTTTGTCCCCTTTTTATAACCCCTCATTTTTGGGGTTTTCCTCATAAAATAACAACACATTTTGATATACAGTATGTTTTTTAATAACCATAAGGTAAAGTATTATAATAATTCATGACCTGTCTCTTATCATAGACAATTCTATATTGTTTTTCTAAAGGTACTGTCTTGACTTCATGTTGACGGGTTCTCTGTATTTTGTAAGGATAAGAGACTTGGATTTCATCAATTTCTTTCTTGAGCATTTTTTCTAATGTCTCTGGTGACACGATATTGGAAGCCCGATAATTAAGAGTCAATCCTTTGACTTTACACACGGAATTTCCCTTGGCGGTGAGGTAAGCATAATTTTTGGGGCCTCCTGACATGAATTTGATAATGTGGTCCCCGTCTAATTCGTCGGTCCATTCTCCTAAACTGTTGCCAAGGGTAGGATTAAATTGTCCCTCCTTATGTTGGTATATGATACTGTCCGTATCGAAATAAAGGACCCGATTTCCTAAAGGTTGTAAAGTCTCGTAGAGGTGTAATCGGGCATGAGCGGTAGTGAAACAGGGCAGTACCACGTTTCCGAAGGGACACTCTTCTACAAATTCCTGTTTCTCTTGATAATTCACCAGCATCATGTCCGATTCTGGCTGCTCTTTATTTTCTAAGAGTTCTATCCCTTTGATGTCAATGGTCGAATCTTGTAAGAGTTGTTGTAATTCGTCTTCTTCGGTCAAGTATCGAGTTTTAGGTAATAACAGGCGTTGAGCGAATTTTCCCCACAAGCAATTTAAAAAGAGTTTGGCTATAGTTCTTCGCACCAGATTTTTTTCTATACTTAACAGGTCCATTCTAATGCCTTCTCTTTCTATTACCTTACGAATGTAATCTAGTTTCTGTTCCTCCGTCTGACAATCAGGTGGGAATCCAGAAGCTTCCTGTTTGATCTTTAAGAAGGTATCGATGTAAGATCTGAATAAATCTTTACTGCTTTCTGGAAAATGCCAAACCTCGTAAATCCGCTCTAAGGTATATCCCATGTCTAGGGCTTTATGTAATTCTGTAGTCACCCAAGTACCTGTAAGACTGCGTTCCTGGTCTCTGTGTTGACATCGATGTTTAGAAGTAGAGTCCTGTCGTTCCGCACACGTTCGACATAATGGAAATAATGACTTGCCTCCCGTGCGATAAGGTAAAACGGGGTGATAAAGGCCTCGGGGTGGTAAGACCCGACAGTGAATGAGGCCGAAATAAGTTCTCACGTCCTGGAATTGGTCTGTAATGATCTGAGGATGGCCTAGGGGAAAAAGTCTGTGTTTTAATACGTAAGGGTATAAGGAACAGACGTCCACGTATCTCATGTCCCCCTCCTCACAATACAATCTTGTAGCATTGGTCCGGCCTCCGTACAGGGCTTCTCGTGGTTCAAAGGATCTGGAATGTCCAGGTCTCGTACATAATTCTGTAATGTCACCTCTCTTTGTGCTTGTTGATCGAAATCGTGTTCCCAGATACTACGTACGGAATACCCCATTTCATCTAAGACCGTATTCCTCCTTAAAGTTTCCTCGTGTAATTCCTGGTAAGTAAATTGTGTCCGGTGAGGATGAGTTTCGGTCTGTAAAATCGGATAGCAAGTAGGGCATCCGTGCCAATAGCATCCGTAAAATTCGTAGATGGTGCGAGTAGCTTCCTGGTATCCATCTACAGTATAAGTTCCGATCTTGACTTCTCCCCCGTTTCTAGCATGTCGTATGTGAGATCCGCTCTGGTGACTCATCCAGCTTAACCACCGACAGGGTTTGGCGGAATATTGACGCGCAGGCTGATACCCCATGTTGGGAATGATGGCAATGGTATCTTCGGGCATGAATCCTCGACGGAAAGCTAAATTGGCCGCACTGGCAAAAGTGATGGATTCCTGGAAGGGGTCTTCATTGACCAAGCTCTTGAGAGTGGCTCGAAACTGAGCACAACATCGTCGTAAAATATCGACGTCTGAAACACAATAGTCTAAAATTTCCTTCTGAAAATCAAACACTTTTCCGGCTTGTTGTTCGTACCATTGGTAAAAAGCCTGTCGTCCACTTATAGACATGTCGTCCGGATTGTAGAATGCCGCAGGTGGATAAGGCCCCACATAATTCTGGTTCTGTTCTGTATTAAAAAGTGAGGGAAATACCCTTTTTTCAGTTCGGTGAATCCGAAAGCAGAGGGCATTTTAGACAGAGCAAAAGGTAAAAAATTATAAGAGTCGATGAATTTCAATCCGCAGATTTGCATGGATAAGATTTTACTGCCGTTCATGATGACCGTAGGTTTCATGCAGGCGGAATGCACTAGGTAATTTAAAATGAACTGTCCATCATATCCTTTGAAATTGTGGGCAATGATGATGGCCTCGTCGTGTAATAAGGCGGAATTCTTATTTCCTGTGTCGGGTTGTAATAACCAGTCCATGAAGTGTCTTAAGGTATCTGGCCCTTTAAACAAGTGTTGACGGGGTCCCATGTGTCGACAATGAGGACAGGGATCTTCTATGGGTAAGTGCCCGCAATGTTGACATACGCGGTGTGCCACACACAGATTAGGGACGTGGATGCCGTTTTCCTGTGTACATTCGAAATCGGAATAAATATAAAACTGTAATGTCTCTTTGCCTTTCTTCTTTTTCTCAGGCTTCAGTTGAACGTAGCACTGATGATCCGTGTCTACAGTTTTCTTACTGATCTTACATTGTTTCTGTCCTCCGCAATGATGATGAGGGAGTAATCGTTTAGGCATCCATTTCTCACAATGCTCGCATCGTCCCATTAAACTGCATACCGTTGTGGCCGTATTCTTACTGTGAGGCCGTAAATGGTTTTCGTAGCAAGTTCTGCTCTGAAAAAATCCCTGGCACTGGCTACATTGAATGTGGTTCCCGTCTGGAGGGCAGGGAGTGTCCGTTAAACAAAATGAACAGCGGTAAGGACACTTGGTACGATGGTCTGTAATGTTCCTGTAGCCCACATCGCAATGATCACAATAGTATTGATTGCCCGTCACAGCTGACATAGATAAAATAGCATCGTAATGATGGTCGTCTAACAAAATGTTTAAACAAGTTCCATCTCCGCAGCCTTTATAAATGGGCTCTAAACTGATTTTAGAGGAGGTGGACTTAAACTGAAATATTTTCAGTCGATAGCGAGGGGCTAACACCTGTTGTAATTTTCCCCATTCCTCGGGTCCACAAGGCTGATGGATATCACAGCCGGCTTGTTCCATGAGAGCTATAGCTTCATTTTGTTGGTCTAAGGACTGAGAATCTCCCTTCCGCATAGGTAGCCATCGTTTTTCCCATTCAACTAAACTCTCTGGATTTTCCGGTTTTTGACTGTGTAACCGGGTGACTACGATGGCTCGAGCTAAACACAGCGTATCCCAAGGATTGTGGATCTGAACGATGGATCGTTTCCCCTTCTTTAAACTCTCCTTGTTAACCATCAGGTGTTTGGTATTCTGTCTACCACTGCCTTCTGGATATTTGACGTGAAACATGTCGAATTCCATAAACCCGTCTCCCAGTTTAAAATCTTTCTTAGATTGTTGCACGGCTTCTATTTTGTTTAAAATGACGTCCTCGTTAAAATGTTTACATTGCGTAAACTCGTACCAAATGTCGGAATCCAGAGAAGGGTGGTGAATGTTCAGGCGTACATAATCGTTAGGGTTACACTACATTTGATATTTGACATTTTGTAGCATGTTTCTAAATAATCGCCGAACAAAGCCTCTGTTTTCCTCTTCTGGCAATTCTTTAAAATTCACACTGTAGACATCTTCTTTAGCTTTAAATTTACTGGAATGCTTAGCTTTATTGAGTCTCACTTGGTAATACTGGGAAATGGTCTTTGGCTTCTGGTGTGGTGAATGAGGTGGTGACGAAGAGGGAGAGGGTAGTTCTTCTTCAGGTAGATTCCGTAAATGTTGTAGGTGTTGAGCTCGGTTGGCTTTGTGCTCTCTTTAATCTTTCCATTAACCTTGCATTCTTTTTCCTGAGAACTAATTCTCTCGTTCTCTGTCGAGAAATAATTCTTTCTAATTCTTTCTCCCGTTTTTTCAATCTCATAAGTTGTTGTGCATGTAACAATCTTTTCAATGAACTATCAAAATTCATCTTGATAGATCTGAAAACAAAATGAGCTGAAAGTCGGAGAAAGGCTGTATTTATAGAGTGTATGACGTCACAATGCATAGGTAGCTCGCTGATCCAAGACTGCGTATTGAGACGTACACAGTACGTATAAACGTAAGTCAAACTTAATTTTGCACACGAAAAAGGGTATAATATTATAAAGCAGAGCTGGAAATTTAGGATCAGTCTTAGTGGGCACTTCGAACTTGACAGATGTAGAAATATGGCAGAGAAAAATTCTATGAATTTACCTGCAACCTTACCAGAGACACAGGATAGTATTGAAGGAAATGAAAGAAGTTTGATATGTGATATCTTAGATCAAATGACCAATGTAATGGAGATACTTCAACAGACTATTTGTGAGTTTAAAGAAGACATGATTACTGAGATTCGTGTGTTTAGAGGAGTGATAATGAATGAGATTGGAAATCTAGAAAAGAAAATAGAGAGTAGCAAAGATCAAAAGCAGATTCCAGTTAACAACAAGAGGAAACTTCCTGCTACAACCCAGACGGAGAAGAAACAGCCCCTGAAACTCCAGAAGAAAAAGTAAAAATTATGTACATTTTTTTTTACTTTGAATAAATCATCTTACAAAGTTTTTCTGTGTTATTGTTTTTTCCGTTTTCAGAAAATAGAGAGAGGCTTTCTTGCTCTGTGTGAATGACACATGACGTCACAATGCATACCTAGCTGTGATTTGAATCGATGCCAAGTTTTTGTATTGCCTATGTATTACTGACTCAGCGATTTTACACACAAACGTAGATCAAACGTACCCCCCTTTTTGCACACGACTTATGGGTTTTTCCAGGGTGTGTGTGTGTTGAACCACCCATCTCCTACAGGGGACAAAAAAGTGCACTCAGTTGACCCACCCATCCAGGCTTCTTATACTACTGGGAAATTACTACCATACCAAATCTTTGCACCTATATATCTCCAACTACGGGACGAAAAAGTGGCCGTTTTGGTGTGCTGTCCCCTCATTGCTCTTATGGAGGATCAGGTGCAGCGGATACAAAAGACTCAGTTTGTTTCCGCTGAATATATAGGCGAGTTATTTAAAACCATCCGACATCTTTGCTTGGGATCCAGATTGACCTGCTACAGAACAATGCATGTCCACCGAAAACTAACACAGTGTTATTCAGCTGTTATTTGCAGTTTAAAATAAGTCATATAACCCATTATGATTCTGTCGAAAACAATGACATGATGATATTGATGTACATTTTAAAAAATACATATACAAAACGTACATATAACCTTTCCCAGCCACTCTATTTTTTCTATTACTGTTTGACACATGGAAACGCCTGTATTTTGTGTAACATTGAAATCCAAATGGGTAAAACTTTGCCATGTAGCAGGGATTAAATATATACATATAATATTTATGTCAAACATGCTTTGTACACTACATTTACTCATTTATATATAGTAACAGAGATTAGACTGATCTGAAAGCGCACATTATTGATGTGGTATTTGCATCCCCAGAACTCTTAGTCGGAAGCAAAACATGCAGTGAGGCTATACAATCTTTGAATGTAAAAGTCATAGTCATAGATGAATTTCACACAATTGCTACACATTGCTACATGGTTAGTAATATGATATACAAGGAAAACAAAGTTTTTAATTGAGTGTTCTTAATCAATAAATCATACAAATACTGATTGAGTGAAATGAAAACCATATTTATTACAGGTAAATGGTGAATAAGCATTTAATTTTCTGTCGCTGCATCTTTGAATAAGTGACAAGTCACTTACTGATAATATTATACAAGTACCGATACTAGTGTACCGGTATTACAAATTAAAGTAATAGTGCCCATGCCCAATTCAGACTAAGCATTTTAATTCTCTATAATTATATTCCTGCTCTGAAGGAGAGGGGGGTATACTGTTTTACCTTGTGTGTCTGTCTGTAACAATTTTTTTTTTATCACAGTTTTCTCAGCAAGTACTCATCGATGCTTGAAATTTCAAAACAGTCTTTGTTAAGGCATGCCATATATAGGGATTAATTTTTCTTTGAATCAGATGTCAACTTCCTTTTTTAATATCTGTGCATCTGTCCCTACCATACATAATAAATTTTTGTCTCAGTTTTCTCACTGACTAGTAGTGACCACTCATCGCATGTGCATGAAACTTTAACACACTCTTT